CTCTTGACATCACAACAGCTTTCTTGGAATATTCTCTGCCTACAAGACATCAATTCTTTTTTTTTGCTTTAATGTCTAAATTAAGAGCATCCGACTTTCACTCTGTTATGTCTTCTTTTGCATATACCGTCAGCTCTGAAAGTGAAATTCTAACTAAGAACAGCCTCTAAAGCCAACAAGCCTCTCTCTGTTTTGGTATTTGTATCTTTTACCCTCTTTATTTGTCATTTCAGCCCTTATTATGTGACAGGAGGTGTTCATACTTTCTTTGTTTACAGCTTTACCAAAATATTTTTAACCAAGGCAGTTGGATGACTTCATAATACAGATACTGTGGTAGGGCAGGGAGTTTGTTTCTCGAGCTTTAAGTTTGCAGTTTGTGGTTCTGATATTACCATTGGAAGCAGTAATGAAAACAACTTGGTAAACTGAATTCCTTGACCCTCTTGTTGATTCTTAGTGAAACCATTTGCAGTGATCACTGTGTGTCGGATTCCTGACTTATCAAGGAAAAGGATTGGGTTACTGTAATTATATCTGTTGGAGGAAAAACTCCCCTACTGCTTTATCAGTGTAGTTCTGGTAAAAATTCCCTTCTTCTCCAAAATTTCCCGATCTGTCCTAGAATCAGGAAATACCCACTTGCTCCAGCATCCAAGTACCTACAAGGATCGGTCCTGCTTAACTTCCAGGTTTGTTCCGGTTGCCTGTGTGGAGTCCCCTGTCATTATTCTTAGCCTTCCAACTTCACCTTCTCCATAAGACAAAAACAATAGTAATGTGTTTCTTTCTGCACCCCATATGGTAAATTGGTAAAAACAACGGATGGTCTTATATAGGAGGATGTACGGTAAGCACTTTGGTGTAGATTTTAAATAAGGGAGAAAATTTGATGCAAGATTACTGCAGAACTCTCTCTGTATTGATCTCCAGGGCTGCTCAGGGCTGCAGAGTTGAACTACTTCCAGAATTTCTGGCAGAAAGCTTGGCACGAGTTAGACTACAGAAAGTTTAATGACACCGCATTTGCAAGTCACTGTTGCCTTTATCCCTGAATGTCTGCATTTGCTATACATCCCATTTAGAGGCCCCCAGACTGCTATTAATCCAAGTTACATTCCATCGTGGAAAGAACTTCTCTGTGATATACCTCCTAATTCCGCGTTAGGAATTTCCCAGTACGGAAATAGTTTTTGTGGCTTCGAGCAGAAGCTCTCCAAACTTGGGACCTTTTAAGACTCCTGGGCTTCAACTCCCCCATTCTGGCTGGGAAACTCTGGGGGTTGAAGTCCGCAAGTCTTAAAAGGTCCCAAGTTTGGAGACCCCTGGCATAAAGACTGAGTTGTGAAGAAATGCTGATGAAATTGGTGGTGTTTAGCTGAAGGAGAAGACAGTTTGGTAATCATTATTTTATAGGATTATTGATCCCAGCAAACCCTGGGGACATCTCAGTATAAGGGCATTGAACGAAAAGTAAGGCCTACACATAACTTTACTTTAAGTATGGATAGTTGAATAAATGAAACGGGGAAATAATCACTGAAACTAATTATTTCATTACTTATATGTAATTGCCTACCAACATTTTCTGTGCATGTCTACCAATGACAGGCAGACTTCTTAAAATCACCATGAACAAACTCCACAATTTGCCTCTTCAGTCAGATCCTTACTTTTTTTTTTTTCCACTTCATCATTTGAGTCAAACGGATGCCTGCGGTGGTATTCCTTCACTTTAGGGAAATGTCTCAGAGTAGTGCCTCAGAATAACAGAGTTGAAAGAGACCTTGTAGGTCATCAAGTCCAACCCCCTGCCCAAAGAAGAGACCCTACACCATTTCTGACAGAGGGCAGTCCAGTCTCTTCTTGAAAGCTTTCAGGGATGAAGCTCCCACAACATCTGAAGACAAGTTCTTCCATCGCTGGATGGTTCTCACTGTCAGAAAATTTCTTATTTCCAGGTTGAATTTCTTCTTGATCAGTTTCCATCCATCATTCCTTGAGTCTGGCCTTCATGGGCTTTGGAAAATAGGTTGATCTGCTCCTCTCTGTGGCAGCCCCTCCAGTATTGGAACACTTCTATTATATCTCCCCTGGTTCTTCTCTTCACTTATACTAATAGAAGTTACATGATGCCAAACTCGGGCCTATATAATATTTGGGGTAAGATTATGGATAACTGACGAGGTATGAGTCAGCCTAATGTTGCAGTGTTGCAGCAGAATTTCTTTCCATGGTTCCTCTAATCATTGTTTTCAAGGTTTGGACGTTACAGTGTGGCGCTCTGTGTTGATAGTGAGTACAGGTTCAAGGAAATCCATCTGAATAACTTCGCTGTGTGTCCCAAAGAATTATAACCATGACTTTTCCTACCAAAGCCTGGGCTCTGCAGTTTGTTGTTGTTTTTTTTTGCAGGTGAAACTTTGTGATGCTACTCCATGGAACAATTCTTTAATTCTGGCTTATAACAATGATCCTATGTTTAGTAGGCTGTCTTAAAGTGCTGAAGAAATTCCTCAGTTTCCTTCCTATAGCATGACAATAATTGCTGGCCAACTTCAACTCTTGGAAGTTTCCACCTCTGCCCTTAGCATGCAAGGAAGCCCTTTCCCACAAACCTTCTAAGATTGGAAAATATCAATAATGTAACCCCCCCCGCCCCCCTTCTCCTGGGAAACCAGTTGGTTGCTGTCACACATTGTTCACTTTGTTCCTGAACCTAAGCTCTACCTGTCTTTATATTTTGGGTCCGGAGATGCGTAGTATTCACATCTATGCTCTTACCATCATCCCAAACCTGTATTTGATGGTGAATTTCAATTGGAGGGACTCCTCTGCCAGTCAAAATTCAGTCACAGCATGTAACATAATTCCCACTCATTGAAGTGAAAGAAGAGATGCTAAAAAACACAGCAGAGCTTTGGAGATATCAGTACTGCCATCTGTTGGCCACTTACAGAACTAGATTATTTTTCATTCAACCTTCTTGCATTCAATTTGTAACATATATTTCACTTCTTATTGTTCAGGGTTTTTTACATACTCGCAGGCAAGAAGCAAGATTAAAAATGCAGTTGTCCTTCTCTATTATATTTTCTTCTCTATCTCATCTCTGTTTCTTAAATCAGAAATCATTTGACGCAATCTGCCATTAACCTTCATATTAAACCTTGTCTTACTCCTATTGTCTTTTGTTGTTTCTTCCGCTGTTTCCCATCATTAGAGAAACTTGTAACTGAAATCAGTGATACTAAAACTATAGTAGTTATCCCTGAGTTGCGGTTACAACAGCCTCGTTGTTGCCAAGGCTATTACACTGGTGGAAAGGATATTTGTTTCTTTTTGTGTGCACTTGACTACAATACACAACTGCAGTCCAAACATAGAATGCTGAATTGTGGTCATAAGCCAAAGACTACCTGTACTGTTAAAAGAAATAAATAAACATCATCCTTGTTCCATTATTCAAATCTATTTTCCAGAGTTACAGTCAGTAAGCACAGTGTATTTAAGTGATACACTTGTGTCTTATCTTGTGTAAGGTATTTTGAATTGCTTCTTATTTTGGAATTTGGACTAGTGAGATAAAGATATATTTTTTGCTTACAACACAGGGTTTCTTGATTTCTGCCTCTGTACAATTAGCCCACAAATGCATAATATATCATGTCTGGTGCTGCACACTTTCTAAATATGATAGATTCCATTCAAGTGTTAAAAGGCATTCTAAAAGGCATTTAATATTTACCCTGCAGATTGTAATAAAAATGAAACGCTTAGACAAAAGTTAAGCAAAGCAATTCCTTGTTGAAAATAAGAGGTACCTTGTTGGGCTGATAAGATGATAGTGTTGTGTTAATGCCAGTGATTTTAGGACAGCTTCTGTATCAATACTTAATAGGCTGTCCAGTATAGTGATTCACTGTTCTTAGTCTGCAGCAGTATCCTAGCAACAGAAACACATACCTGCTTGGGAAAGGAAGATGAAAGGCTTTTCAGAAATATTTCTGCATATTATACAAGGCCATTTAATATTATGAGCCATCTCAGAATTTTAGTTGTATTGCTTTGGAGAGGTAAGAATTTGCCAATCTTCAAGCTGGTCATCTACATCCACTAATATCCTGATTTAGTGTTTCCTGTTTCCTGTTGTTTTAAGGAGAGAATTTCAGCTGTTAAGTTCAAATATTTTGTTACTTTCCTGCTTTCAGCTGAAGTTTCTTTACTTTCATTTCCAGAACAAACGTGAATTTATATTTTGTTCCTCCAGTCAATGCTTTAAAACCACCCTTCATCAATCTTCTAGATATGTAGGGTTCCAATTCCCAGAAACCCCACCAGCATTAGGGATCTTGGATGAAAATACTTATGAAAATGAATATGCTGAAAGCTCTTTTCAATTTTGTTGATGTTCTGCAGTTTTCATGTTTTTATGTATTACTTAACGGGGAGAGAAAAAAAACCAAATGTTGGCTTATAACTGCTATAGCTTCTTACCAAGATGTGGCTATTGTGATGGGAATTGTGGGTGAACAGTGGCTAGAGACCAAGGATTGAGGGCCACAGTACAAGCTTTGATCTCCTCTCTAGTGTGCAAATACAGACTGCCAAGCGTAGCTTTCTGCAGCATTTTTAGAGGGCTCAAGTCTTCAGTATCTCATAGTGGTAAAGGTTTAAGAAGCTGTAGTTTTAAACATGGTATGGTGAGCCCTAGGTGCTTTGCTCAGCAGGGAAAGTAAATTCTTTTAACATATGAGATGCCTGCATTATTTTGAGGGGGTGGGATCACAATACCTAATCACGTTGCCAGATGTATTTAAGCCATTTGGTTATTATAACATTTAAAAGCTAAATAGGAGGAGAACAAAATACAAAAGAAATAATAATTATGATCATAAATTGGTTTTGCTATGATTGAAAGTTTGAGCTGAGCTGACCTCCAGTTGTGTTTAAGCTGAACCACAGTCCCCTTGTCCTCTTTTTGTTTCCTTTTGAAACAGGTCTGCGGGGGCTAATTAATCTTGGGAACACATGTTTTATGAACTGTATTGTCCAAGCACTTACTCACACTCCACTGCTGCGAGATTTCTTCCTCTCCGACAGACACAAATGTGAAATGCAAAGCCCCAGCTCATGTCTGGTCTGTGAAATGTCTACGCTTTTTCAGGAGGTAAGTTGCCCCTTTTCGCCGTTGTTCAGAATGTCACACTTTCATCTTTGCGATGGGTAAGAGGCAACCAGAGATCGCTCTACTCAGTATTTTAGGCTTCCTTCCATTTCCTCTTTCATACGCTCCCATTTGCAAGGTGCCAATTGACGACAGAACGGTCGCCCATAATTTGCTCTTATCGGTTTAAAGTAATCATGGATGCAACTTGCTGTTGGCAGATGGGTTTGAAAACAGTATGGTCAGCTGATTCTGATTGGTTATAACACAGTGTTGTGGCCCGTTGGCTGCCAGCAGAGCTACCAACAGAGCAGGGGTGGGATTCTGCCGATTCGGCCCAGTTCGACAGAACAGGTAGCTCCAAAGATCACCTGGGAGCAAACCGGTTTGTGCCGATGATCAGCTGCTGGGCCCATACACCCACCCCAGCTCCATATTGACCTTCATTTCCTGCTTTTGATGCTCAGCTGCATCGCGTGGCACAGCAGGTTGCCGCGCATCAGCTGCTGAAGAGACGGAGAGGGCAGGAGAAGGTCAGTAGGAACGCCTCTGCGCGTGCTTGCAAAGTGTGTGTTTGCCATGTGCGCAAAGCACACCCACCAAGCCACACCCACCGAACCAGCGGTAAACCAATTTGAATCCCACCCCTGCAACAGAGTCAGACGAGGTTGGGTCAGAACACACAGGTCAGTGTTAACTCTTAGCAACTACACAGATAGGTTTTCTCCACGACAGTCCTTCCCTAGCGTGATCTCACGATGTTGTGTCCGTTGTCACTGTAACCGAGTCCCTTATCCTCTTGTTCGCTTTTCTTCCACCTCTTCCACCATCAGCACCTTTCCCAGGGCCTTCATATAATTACACGGAGGTCTTCATATAACGTGCGTGCCTTCGTGTTGCCGTCTCTTCTGAACCACCCCATCCAAATTGAATTCAAAGCTTTTCCTAGCCCAACCTACATATAGACCTGTTCTAAAGGCCTTCGAAACTGGGTCAGTTGAAATGCTAAGGGGCTAGAGCTGCACAGACAGCCTAACTTAACAGGAGGCTAAAAAGCCTCCTGTTCAACGTAAAAGGTAGTTTGAGAAAGTTCCTTTAGGTTTTTTTTTTTTATCCTTTTAATGAAACACTGAGGAATACATATCAAGAGGCACAGTGAAGTAATTATGGAAAGTACCACTGGGTAGAGTAATTGGATAATTCCAGAACTAATTGTAAGAAGGGGGAAGTTTTATTGCTGCGGTTCTTTGAATTATAGTGTCACAACTGCTGTATCAGCAGATTTCAGTTGCGTTCAGGCTCTGGTCTCTCTACCATTCCTGTTGGCATCTTAGGATTGTTTATCGATCCTTTGGAATATAAAAGGCATTTGTGCATTGTTGCGTTGCTGCGGTGTTGTTTCAGGCCAGCAAAACTCTAGCACAGCAAGGAGAAGAATTTTCCTCCCAGATGTATAATATGATGTGTGTAAAAATCTGTAAACTTAGGAAAGATGCTCCCTGCCCTTAATTCTAGATGACATACTGGTCTGATACACATATAAAGAGTTTGGATTCGAGGTCCAATAATACACATTATCAGAGAGCCAGTTTGATCTAGTGGTTAAGACACCAAGCTAGAAAACCAGGAGACTGAATTTTAGTCTCGCCTTAGATTTGAAAGCCGTCTGGGGGATGTTGGGCCAACCACCAGGTGAACGTGAGTTCTAGTCCCACCTTAGGCATGAAAGCCAGCTGGGTATCTTTGGGCCAGTCCTCCTCTCTCTCAGCCCAACCCACCTCACAGGGTTGTTGTTGCTACGGGGAAAACAGGAAGAGGAAGGTGTATGATATATGTTCACTGCCTTAAATAACAAAATCAGGATTAAAAAAAAAAATTAGGGAATAATTCTAATCTTTCCACGAAGAATTTTTCTATGTTTGCTGCTAGGGGGAAAGGAAAAAAAAAAAAAAAGCCCGCTGAACCTTTTGTTTCGTTTCCCGTCCTCCCCTCTAACCCTCTCCCCTCCCCATCCCTCTCCCGGGCGCAGTTCTACTCTGGGCACCGATCTCCTCACATTCCATATAGGTTATTGCACCTGGTATGGACACACGCACGGCATTTAGCAGGGTACGAGCAGCAAGACGCCCACGAGTTCCTCATTGCTGCCTTGGATGTGCTGCATCGACACTGCAAAGGTGAGGTTCGTCCCGCTTGTTCCTGCTCCCCGGCGCGTCTCGGCAGCCTTGGGCAGGCGGTCCTCGACTTAACGACCGCAGCCGACGGTTTATGTTGCTAAGGGTGACTTTCACCAAGTGAGTTTTATGGTCCCACTTCACGACTTGCCTCGCCACAGCTGAGGAAGTGAATCACCACGGTTAAATTAGTGACACCGCTGTTCATTGAATCTGGCTCCCTTGTTGGCTTTGCTCGTTGGAAGGGCGCAAAGGGGGATCACACCCCACGCCCCCCCCCCCCAGGACGCTGCCAGCCCGTCCGTTGCCAAGCATCCGAATGTAAATCACGTGACCATGTCATAAGTGTGGGAAACGGTCATGAGTCACTTTTTGGGTGACTTTGAACCTCAGCGAACTGTTGTAACTCGAGGACTACCTGTACCTAGCCGTGGGATATCAGAAGGAGGTTTCTGCTTTGCTCTTTCTTAAACTGGCTGGAGTCTCTCACTCATTTTTATGGTGGCTTTCTTATATCTTCACTCGTAGCTGGAAAAAAATAAAAATCTGAGGATTTTGAGTTGAGTTAGGTTTTGTAGGTTCCAGCATGAAAAAGGAGGAGTAGATCTACGTACAGGTAGTCCTGTATGGCTTTTGTAACTCCCAAATAAACCTCTTCGAATGTCCTAAATAGGTTTACTGTGGCACAAACTCCTCTGAACTAGCATTGATCCCCTCCTAGAAGTAACGGCTTAATGCCCAGACCTGCAACTGCTCAATCCTTGGGAATTCCTTTTCAGCCCAATTATGCTTTCTTTTTTTTTTTTTGCTGTTGCTGCTGTGTTGTATATTGACAGGTGCAAGGAGGTGGTAATTTCATTTTGCCAGATGTCACGGGAAGCCCCGTGAGTTTGTCGTACCTCCCAGTGTTGCTGTGAACAAGCTTAACAGAACAGTCTTTAGAGACCCCCCACTCCTCACTGAGCCTAATTGACTTGGGTAATTGAAGAGGGAGAGAGCCTTAACTCTCCTGTGGGTGCAAATGATGGTCTATTAAGGCTATCCAGCAGGGAGGGTTACCTGCAGCCCAGCGAAAATGCGAAGAAGCCATTTGCTAGTTTTTGTGAGCAGAGCAAATAAAAGGAAGAAATGCTTTTACGGGCAAGGGTTAAACCTTTGTCCTTTAAAAAAAAAAGATTCTTTGTTTTGCTTTCTGTATGTACCTTTCTCCCAAAATGACGCAGCAGTATAACTTTTCATGACTTCATAAAAGAAACAGGAAAGGCTGTTTTGTGTGTGTGTGTGTGTGTGTGTCAGTAGTGATTTAATAATGTATCTTTTACTTGGCCAGAAAGTTTAAATCCCAGTTGTTAGACAGTTGTTCCAAATGAGGGGGTGCCCTATTTAATCTCAAAACACCAAGTCAGACTCATGACATGTTGACATTGGCAAGGTGTTAGATTACTTCCATTCATCTCCCTGGGATTTGTTGGTGGTCGAGTGTTCTCCTAGACACGGTTGAGAAAATTCCCACGATGTATAGAATGAATATTTTTAAAAAATATATAAATTTAGTTAATTTTTTCAGTCACATTGAAATAGCTACGTTGTGTGTCAAAATTATGAACTGTTCAACATTTGCGAATGCTGCCTTTCCTACCTTACTTGACTGGTAGTGATTTGCTAGGTAGTGTGAATAATGACATGTGTAATTTTCTTAACAGCAAGAATCATTTTTACTTGGAAAGACTTACGTGTATTACTCAATCCCTCAAAGTGCACTTAAATCAACATTGCCGCTTACTGCCATAGCAGGGCTACCTCTTCTGGAAGTGTCCTTGGGGCAGAGCAAACCAGCCAATTTTCTACTTAATAGTAATATATTATGTTCCCTATGACACAGAGTTACTCATACCTAATTTTGGATCAAGTTCTCTACTTGGTTTGGTCAACCGAGCACAACTTGAAGCAATAAAATAGAAGTAGTGTTTTTCATAGCTGTCATTCCTGATGCACTTCCTTACTCTTGGAACATTATTTTTGTAGATATACCACAAAAAGTAAGTCTTAAGTCTATAGGCAGTCCTTGACTTACGACTACAGTGGGGACCGAAATTTCCATTGCTAAGCAAGGCAGTCGTTAAATGAGCTGCACCCAATTTTATGACCTTTCTTGACACAGTTTTAAGTGAAATATTACAGTTGTTAAGCTAGTAGCACAGGTGTTAAGTGACTCTGACTTCCCCGTTGTTTTTGCTTGTCAGAGGGTCACAAAAGCTGACCAGATGACCCCAGGCCCGTGCAATTGTTATAAATACATGCCACTTGCCAAGTGTCCAAATTTTGATAATGTGACCAGCGGTTATTGAGAAACAATCGTGTCCCTTTTCTTCAGTACCATTGAGGACCCAGATTGTGGGGGTAAGGAGTGGTGTGGTGTTCTAGAGGTGGAGTTCTTGCCTCACAGTTTAGAAGGCTGTGAGTTCGATCCTAGGTAGAGGCAGATATTTCTCTCTCTGGGCACACTGAGAATTTATCTGCTGAACAAAACTCAGCATTGGCAACAGGAAGGGCATCCGGCCATTAAAGCACTCTGCTAGCTCCCTTCAGTTGCCCAGACTCCACCCCGCAAGGGATTATGAGGTGGTTAAAAGAAGATGATTGTCGGGCGCAAGATGCTGACTCTGTAAATCGCTTAGAGAGGGCTCTAAAGCAGTATATAAGTCTAAGGGCTATTGCTGTTGTAACTTTAAATGGTCACTAAACAAAGAATTGCCTGTATATAAAGTGTATAAAGTGCATAGTTCTTTGCACGGCTGCATGCAACTATTCAGAAGGCTTGAAAAACAAAGTGCTTATTTTCTTTTCTTCAGGTGACGATAATGGGAAGAAAGCCAGCAATCCCAACCACTGTAACTGTATCATAGACCAAATCTTCACAGGTGGACTACAGTCTGATGTCACTTGTCAGGTCTGCCAGTGAGTATGATGGACAAGCTCTCTAAAAACGGGCCATCCCTGGAGAATAAAATGGCGATATCTTCCTGGGGTATAGAGAGAGAGAGCCTAGGCAAGAAATGTCAGTGAGAACCTGAATGAAATAGAGAAAAGAATAATAATTGCACAATGAGTAACCTGCTGCTCTTAAATCTGCTTGCATTAAGGAAACCTTTTTTTTTTCTGGTGAAGACATGATGACAATCTTTATAATCAGCTTTTGCTTGATTATAAAGCAAGTGGGCAGCCAATGTGCTTTTTTTTTTAAGGGAGACCTGAGCTGCCAGAACTTAAAACAATTTTGCACTATTAAATTATACAGACTTTTCATTAACTCCTCTTGCTGATTTATAACTGATGGTTGATATTGTTCGTTCCCTAACATCCTGCTCTTGTTCCCTATTCTTAAGATCCCTACTAAAGAAATTTAAAATGTTCTTTGTTGGAAATCGCTTTTGCGAGCACCCCCTAGAGGTGAAGTGCCAATTTTTCTTCCACTTTCACACGTTCATTTTGGACATAGAAGGGTTGCCAGAACGTTTTTCCTCTCAGCGTTTACTCTTGTGAACCTACTATTTTGTAGAGTAATATCACACCATTTTCTGGACCTGTTGATTTGCAGGAATGCCTCCTTAATATTTTGTCCTCTCAATTTTAACAGGTTAAAATGGATGTTACTGATAGAAGAGAATATTTGGAACACAGGGCTGACCCTGTGGAACCCCTGGCTGCTCTCTGAGCTTGGTGGTTTTCTTGCAGCTGTTTCATGACCCAACTAAGTAACTTCATCAGCGCTAGAAGGAAAAGGGTGTGTGTGTGGAGAAGAAGAGGAGGATGGGGTTCTTGGCTTTGGTTGTTTTCTTGCAGGCATTTCATTACCTAACTTGGTAACCTCATCAGTGCTAACAGGGAGTGGCCTTTCATCATCATTGCACGGATGATGTTACCTAGTTGGGTAATGAAACATCTGCAAGAAAACAACCAAACTCAGAGAGCCCCAAGAGCCCCACAGTTGTTGTCCTCCTCCTCCTCCTCCTTTCTCCACTCTGTAAACCCCTCTACCTTCTAGTGCTGAAGTTATTACCTAGTTGAGTAATGATTCGTCTGCAAGAAAACACTAAGCTGAGAGAGGACCAAGGATCCCACAATCACTTCTGTCCAAACTATTGCTTCACGTGATCCCGTGGCTGAGCTCCCTCTCTCTTTTTTTCCTTTTCTTCCCCCCAGCGGTGTGTCCACAACGATAGACCCCTTCTGGGACATCAGTCTGGACTTGCCCGGTTCCTCCACCCCGTTTTGGCCTCTGAGTCCAGGCAGCGATGGCAGTGTGGTGAACGGAGAGAGCCATGTGTCAGGAACCACCACCCTCACAGACTGCTTGCGAAGGTACAGGCTGGCAGACTGACTTTAGAAAGAAGCACTCTTACCTTCCCTCCTGTCTGCAGATGAGCAATTGGCAGGCAGATGGCCCAGGAGCAAAATAACAAAAACCAAATAAACACCACCTCGTCTGCAATTATTTCTGCTGAATCATCGTGCAAGCAACTCAGTTCCCTTGTAGGAAAAAGAGGCCAGGACAAAAATTAAGCATGTAGCATAAACTTGATAGAAGCTGGTAGGTAATCAAGACAAACCCCCCTCAGTTTGGCTTTCCCCATGATAAATTTCAGCACTGTGTATCCTTGATTGTGTTAGACAGTAGACGGTATTGCTTCCTATGTTGCAAAGCAAGGCAAGCTCAGGATGAACATGAACACCTTTGATCTCTCACCTTACAGGCATTTTAAATGACATGTTGGACCTACGGCCTACATATGTGGTATCTCTGTAGATCATAGGTACAGGTTCACAATCCTTGTTTCCCTTAATTCTGGATAGTCTGCCTCTTAACTTCTCCCTCCCTTGCTCAGTGAACAGAAGTGAAGTCTCTTAGAGGTAAGGAAGAGATGTCCAACATAAAAAGAGGAATTGCCAGCCAAAATTGTAAAGCAGGAAACCTCCATTGCTTCACCAGTTTTTGGACCCCCGTTGGTTAGCCTTAGGAAGAAGAAATTCTACTAATGTTTAACAGAATGTTCTGCTAAAATATGATGTGGAATGTATCTTAATACTGAATTCAAGAAAGATCAACAGAGGAACAGTGTCCAGCAGGTTTCATCCTTCTTTCAAAACACAGTAAGCAGACTATTTTTCCGTTCCACCTGATGCAACCATCACTTCACAAAAGATCTGAGAGGTTATAAAATTATCACACAGCCACTTCTCCTTCAGGAAGATTGACAAGAAAAATCTTTGCTGAAGAATTTGTACAACAGTATACAGAAATCCATATGAAGAAGACTGCACAGACTGTCTTGTCTCCAAATGGATAACAGGCGAGCCGAGAGAGAGGCCTCAATGAATTTACATTCCATTTCCTTGCAAGAATGGGTGGTGTTTTTATATCCCTATCTGGGCTTTCCTCTATGCAATTACCCGTAGTTTCAGTAGACTACTGAAAATGTTTCCACGGCTCTTAACTGTTTACCTGTTCACTGTTTAATTGTTTGCCACTTGTTTACTTGCTTTGGGGTCAGTTTAATGGAGATACTCATGGGGATATTTTTCTTTACTCACTGAATCACCGCACTGTGATTAGGACATTGAGACTAAATTATTTAGGATTATAGATTGGTTCCTCCCCCTAAAATTCTTCCATTTTGTTGGAATCTGGAAAGCAATTTCAGAATAATGCTAACCAGATCCATTCAGCTATCACTATTATAGTAATTAAGATCATAGGAACAGCCCTACTGGATCAAACTTCCATCTAATCCCATAACTATTCACTGGTACATATTTTGGTGGCCACCATCCTAAACAAATTCTGGAATTCACCTTTCAACTTCCTGTAACATGGAAGTACTATACAGTAACAATGCCAGTAGAACTATGCTTTTTTCTTATTACTTCTTACTATATAGGGTTTATTTGTTACCTTAACACCAAAGCCAATTATACAACGTCTTGCTTTTTAAGCAATTCTGCTGCATTCATCAAGCAGGAAATTTCAGAAGAATCTCACATTCCAAGTTGGTTTTGGCCCTCCATAGATTTTAGGTGGGGTGTTTTTTTCAAGTCAAAAGTAAATGATGGCTAATCCGGAGCTGTTTTAGTTTTAGGCAAGATTGGAAGAGAAATGATGCAAATATGAAAACCTTGAGGCTTCTGGATTCCAGCTGTCTTTAGCTGTAACCACTACAGCCAGCAGCCGCAGTTGCTAAAAGATATAATTCATTTAGAAGTTCTGTACCCTTCTTGTAGAGACTTGAGGATTAGTTTTGTGTAGTGAGTGTCTCTCAAATTGCTAGTTTGCCATGGCTGTTCCATGCGAAGAATTCATTGTACGTAGAAGGCCTATTACCAAATGATCTTCATGGATGGAGGATACTTATTTCTGTGGAAGAAGGTTCAGTGTTGGTCTTATGTGCTGCCTCAGTACAGAATTCAGATGTATTATTTCAATAAGAAAGGTCTGGATCATTACCTCAACGATTCCAAGGTTTGCATATTCCCTTTTTAACCAGTTGATCTCTTTGAGTCTGGAAGGTAAGGATGGCAATTATAAAAATGTGTATTTAGATTTCACTCAAGGTAATTTCCAGATTTGTGAAGGTATGTTGTATTTTGGCTATGTGAAAAAAACTTTAATCTGTTCTCACAAATGCCTCAATTGTGTATGTTTAAGCAAATGCAGAACATTGGCCTATTCACCTAATCAAAGCTTTAAATCCTGTTTTTGTTTGGTCTGTGGTGATCTCTTCGTATTAGCCTTTTGTGATAGATTGGCTTCTGAGCCAACTTTATTTTTATTGTCATATTTTTCAGGTAAGCTTGGCTTTAAGAACATAAACATTGTGGAAAATTTCTGAAGGGATATTTTAAAACCAGTTGTATAGGTTGCGTATAATTTATATTTTTATGTTTTTTAAAAAATCAAGAAACATAATAGTAAAGGATTTGAAATGAATGAAAACTCTGAGGAAGCTAGTATTCTACATGTAAAACCTGTAGAAGATTGTACCTGAGGGTAAAAGATACTAAATGGAAATTTAGAGTGAAATAGTGTTTTACTTGTGCTGGTTATCCATTCTGTTTTAAACGTATTTTTTTTCAGGTTTACAAGGCCAGAACATCTAGGAAGCAGTGCCAAAATCAAATGTAGTGGTTGCCACAGCTACCAAGAATCTACCAAACAGCTCACTATGAAGAAACTACCCATTGTGGCTTGTTTTCATCTCAAAGTGAGTTTGCTAAATGATGATGATGAAAGTGGCTCTTCCTCCATGGACTTGGTTGATTTTCTTTATTTTGTGGGTTTTATCTTAAATCTCACTGTAGACTGAATCTCGGTTTTGAACTGAGCATGTGCACTTGAGAATTGGGAACACACCTTGTGACTGTTGGATGACATATTTCTAGATATCTAGAGTTTAACATTTTGCAGACTCAGTCCCCAAAGTGCCTTTTCCAAAGGGCAAGTGGACTTCCTTGGTTTTCTTTTCTTCTTTGAAAACGTTTTGCTTTCAGTCCAAGAAGCTTCTTCAGTTCTGAAGGAGAAGATTCTTGGATGAGAAGCGAAAGGTTTTCAAAGGAAAAAAAAAACCCAAGAAAGTCCAGTTGTCTTTTGGAAAAAGCACCTTTGGTTCAACCATGACCTGGAGGATTGAGAATCTCCATAGACATTGCAGATCCAGCACTCTGATCCACAAAGCTGTATGTTGCTTTGCCGAACTTAAAACTTTCAGCCTTGATTCAATAACTGTCCAGAAGAATTGCTTTAGAGAATACTAGCATAGTTCAGAGGAATTGGGGTTTTTTGCTATTAAACTATTTGCCCTTCCATTTGTGTAACAATCTAGCCGACCCATACAGTTTGATGCTTATGAGAATATCTGTTCAATTGAAGCATACTTCCAAATGATTGCCACTATACGTTTCCAAAACATTCTAATTATAACTACAATAGAGCTTCAACAGGCCAAACTACAGCATTTAAAAGATTTTGTCAGGGTTACCAACCAGTGGTTCCTGAAGATTAATATTTTATGAAACTTAAAGGAGAATATTTGTAGGGTTGACATGAGGGGGTCCTTGGTGCTCTCAGACAAATCAGTCATCAATAGACATACAAGTCTGTAGACTATGCAAAAGGGACCATCAACCCAGCCCAAAAAAGAACAAAAGGACTCAAGCACCTCAGCACCTGAAGGTTAACTTCAGGCCAACAGCCAAGTAAACAATACCTTAATCAAGAAACTGCCAAAGAGCCAACAGTAAAGAGCTCAACCAAAGAATCTCTTAAGACCACCCCCACCAATACTGACAGACCAAGCCACCACAATTTAAACTGACAACAAACTGCACTCCTTACTAGGGGTGGCACTGATGATGTTACCTAGTTTGAGGGGAGACCCACATAGAACTAGCTCTTACAACCCACCTTTCCTGCAAGAAAACAGGCAAGCTCAGAGAGCACCAAGGACTCCTCAGGGTTGAGTTGATCATCATATTCCACAGCAGAGAAATACAAATAGCCATACGTAGTGTATCCAAATGTCTAGATTTCATAAAAGCGAACACAGAGAAGGTTATTTTGGAAACAGGCAGCGATTGTATTGAATGTCAAAGGGTGATTTCTTGCTATGAATTGCCCTGTCCTCCTATCTGTCCAGAATTAAGATTTTAATATTTAATGCCTCAAAACAGCGTTCAAATGCCAGCGAACTAATATTGCTAAATTCCGGCAGCTGAAGTAATGGATAGGGGGCTGTGCGTTATTTATAGCCGAACTGTTATCAGAGTAATGATGAAGAGCTGTATCTTCTGACAATGTTAATAATGTAATATGGCAAACAAACAAAAATGTGAAAGGCTATCTTGTCTATGTAATTTCTTTTCTCGTGCGTGGAAAATAGCCTGGTCTGTTGCTAGGGAATTGTTGTGTTCCTGAAATTGGAGTACAATTACCTACAAAGGTAAATAGGACAGGAGTTTTTAGAAATTTGGAGAAAGGCTCCCTTTTGGAAGAAGAGTTCATTAATCTTTCTGCCCCCTGTTCACATCCGCTTGTAGCATTTTATTTGGATGATGATGAAAGCATGGAGCTTATCACATTTCCCATTGTCTCTGAAATTAATCTTTTCCAGCCACTTGTGTCTTGGCAGTGTGAGATACCTAGAATATTATTTGTCTTCCTTTATAAATCACAGCATACCTCAGTGCTACAAAGGAGGTTTCAGGCTGAATCCATGCCTAAAAATCCTAGAATGCCTCAAGAATGATAAAGAATTGTTTTTAAAACATTTTAAATCTGATCGTCTATCTATCCATTTTTTTATCTAGCGGTTTGAACACTCAGCCAAACTGAGACGGAAGATCACTACGTATGTCTCCTTTCCACTAGAGCTGGACATGACGCCTTTCATGGCCTCTAGGTATGCACTGGAAACCTCTTCTTGCGAGAAACCCTCCATGTCTTAGACAGCATATAAAGGGCAGAGAAATTGTCTAGTTCAGCTTGTAGGTAGGGACTACAACTGGGTGTTCTTTTCACTGGTTCCGCTGGCATGGATTTCAGAATTGAAATTAAGCAGGAGTATCTTGAGTGAAAAGAGAGTGATTCCACCTTCCTCCCTCTAAGGTGCATAGAGCCATGGTGGCGCAGTGGTGAGAATGCAGTCTTGCAGATTAATTCACTGCTCACTGCCAGGAATTCGATCCTGACCAGCTCAAAGTTGACTCAGCCTTCCATCCTTCTGAGGTCGGTAAAATGAGGAGCCAGATTGTTGGGGGCAAGAGGCTGACTCTGTAAACCGCTTAGGGAGGGTTGTAAAAGCACCGTGAAGCGGTATATAAGTCTAAGGGCAATTGCTATTATCATTCCTTTAATTGTTTTATATGTATACTTGCTTTTCATTTAACTAATCAATTTCCTTTGATTTGATTATTATGCCGAGAAGAAAAACGGCAAGTTTATTGCCTGACTGATCACTGATACAAGACAAGTATAAAAGATGCACGCTCACATTTTAAAACTTTTGGCTGTGATAATAAAGGCAGGATTTTTTCCCCCTTAAACAGTCAGTCAAAAGTTCTCCAGAATTGTCCTGCCAGCATGACTTTTTGTCCCAGGAAATGCTGAGATTTGAAATGGACCTTTCAAGAAGTGTCCAAGTTGGAAAAATTGCAATTGGGGGATGGGGGAGAGGACCTTTGAAGATACGTTTACGGAGCAGTAAATTTATCTTTCTCCTCTTTGGAGAAGGACTTCCAGAAAACTACAAAGTATCGCTGCATGTAAAGCATTCAGAACTCACCCTGTCAATGGCCTTAAAGGCTCAAACTAGTCATTTAAATCTCCTGCTTTGTGGCTTTGGTGTTTTGCTGGTTTTCTTCATGCCAGGGGTAAGTTATGTCAGTGTTGTCTCTTTATTTAAACACTTGTTCCTCCTCTTCAGGAAGAATGTCGAGAAAATAAGGAGATCTCTTCAGATTTTAAATGTCTGTTAACTAAAGGGGCGATTTGATAACCCGCTGTCTTTTTAAATGACATTGAACATGGTGTTTTTTTGTTTGTTTGTTTTTATTGTAGTAAAGAGAGCAGAATGAATGGGCAGTACCAGCAACCAGCAGATAGTCTAAACAGTGATAATAAGTAGGTGGCTTTGTCTTCTGTGCTTCTTGGTCTCAGATACGTCCCTTAAAACAGTATAAAAAGCTGCCTAGCAGAGTTCAGTAGCCTGTTTTTTTTGAGCACTTTGTATTCTAAACTAATTCTGGGGGGGGAAAAAAGCCCAGGAACAAAAGGCTGTTTTTTCAAACAGTGACTTTTCCATTCCACTTCTCTCCACCGTCCCCCTGAGCCTTCCTTCTATCTTCTAAAGACTCACTACTCCACAAATTTTACCTACTCATTTGTCCAGTTGAGGTAGTCACTGGTCTAGTAAGGCCCACCCAGACTCTGTAGAGAGGGTGGAACCCAAATATGTATGATAAATAAAATCTTAACACATCTGACGTTTTGACAGCTTGGATTGGCATTGATAGTTAGAGTAATATGTATAAACACTGCTGATGTTTTTCAGAAATACTAGTTAACACAGGTAATCCTCGACTTACATCAGTTCATTTAGGGACCGGTTGAAGCTATAAAGGCACTGAAAAAAGTGACTTACGACCATTTTTCAAACTTACGACCGTTGCAGCATTACTATAGTTACATGGTCAAAATTTCAGATGCTTGGCAACTAATTCATATTTATGACAGTTGCAGTGTCCCGGAGGGTCATATCTCTTGTGACCTTCTGACAAGTAAAGTCGTTGGGGAATCCAGGTTCACTTAATCACCGTGTGACTAACTTATGCAGTGCTTCACTTGACGACTGGGGCAAGAGAAGCTGTAAAACGGAGCAAAATTCACTTAACAACTTAGCAGCACCTATTTTGGGGCTCAATTGTGCTCGTACGTTGAGGATAACTTGTAGCATGTGGAAGCTCCACGTCGGATGGCCCAGCTTACATACAACCACATATTAGCAAAACGTTGATTATTGAAGGGGCTAAAAGTTCTATGTTGTAAAAAATCAAGCTGTTTTCTCTTTGCTTGTTTATTCCGACAGGTATTCCTTGTTCGCAGTAGTTAACCATCAAGGAACCCTGGAGAGTGGGCATTATACCAGTTTTATTCGGCAACACAGAGACCAATGGTTCAAATGTGACGATGCCATAATTACCAAGGCTAGCATTAAGGACGTACTAGACAGTGAAGGGTATGTCAAACTCCCCTTAAGCGCCAAATGCCAGTTTTGCTCTCTACCGTGTCAGTGAAATAGAAAAGAGGAGCCAAATTAGAGGGAATGTGTGAAAATAAAATTCTGCTTTGATCTGGAGGATTATTGTGGGATTATCTCCAAGCCAGTGGGGATAATATATTTTTAAAAAACGACCTATGTTTTTGGAGTGGCCTCAAAAGAGACGGGGTGGCACGTTACTCCAAACCAACGTTTTTCAACTCTGGCCACTTTTAAGACGTGCGGACTTCAACTCCCAGGCTTCCCCAGCCAGCACAGCTGTATTCCCATAATCCTACGGCTGGCTGGGGAATTCTGGGAGTTGAAGTCCGCACGTCTTAAAAGTGGCCAAAGTTGAGAAATGCTGCTCTAAAACAAGCGCCAACCCTCTTGCACTCAGGTTTTGCTTTCAAAAGTTCAGTTCTGCAGCCTGCATCAATTATGCAAGGGAACTCTTTTCTTTTGGCCTGACTCACCCGTTTTTGCTGCTTTTCTGGTTTCCCTGGCATGGGAGGGATGCAAAAATGTTATTCCACTTTCTCCGTTTGCTTCTGGGATTCTCACCGAGATTTCGTGTTACCATACCAGGAAAGGGAAATTTTAGTTGTTGGTTTTTGTTTCACAAAATGGGAGAGTCTGTGAAAGCTGATTTCCCTCCTTGGGTTACCTTTGCACAGAATTGTGTGATCTGCGTAATAGCACCATCTAAAGGTGCCAGAGATACAAACCTTATATTCCTAGTACTCCTTACATAGTCCTTGACTTACAACCATTTCTTTAGTGACTGTTCAAAGTTACAATGGCACTGATAAAAAGTGGCTTTTGACGGCTTTTCACACTTATGACCATTGCAGTATCCTCCATGGTCAGGTGATCAGTATTAGGACACGTGGCAGGTGCTTCATATTTATGACGGTTGCCTTGTCCTGGGTCATGCAATCCCCTTTTGCAACCTTTCTGGTAAGCCAGGTCAATGGGGAAGCCAGGTTCACTTAACAACTGCAGTGATTCACTTAACAATTTTGGTAAGAAACGTCATAAAACAGGCCAAAACTCACCCTAACAACTGTTTTAGCAATGGAAATGTTGGGCTCCATTGTGGTCATAAGTCAAGGACTACCTGTATTGCCAAGGAATGCCTATATTCATAGGTCATTTTTTTTTCCACCTGTATTTCCTTCCTTTATGATGTTCTCTGCTGCATGGAGGATGGGAGACCACCCACCCCCCACCCCTTCCTGAAAGATAGGGAATGGGACTATTGGAATGGAATGAGCAGACTGTTGTCTACAGAACATTGTCATAATCCGACTGACATTTCAGGCGTCTTAAGAATTTGTTCGTAATTAGAATGTATACCCTGCGCTTCTCTTGGGGAAAGCAGCAATCTTCTTCCGCCCTCCTTCCTCAAAAGTAAAACTTTGGGGTCCCGTATTTTAATCCAGGGTCCTTCCTTCCTTCCTTCCTTCCTTCCTTCCTTCCTTCCTTCCTTCCTTCCTTCCTTCCTACCTACCTACCTACCTACCTACCTACCTACCTAGGGATGTTTGGGAATTGCTGGGGCAGACCTTCTAAACTTCTAAAACTGCCGAAGCTCCTTGTTCTAATCGGAAGCCCCCTTTTGACACGAGGCCCCCAACGTTGGCAGAATCTCCCCATTCTTGCCGCTTTGAGTTTGGTCTCGAGGTATGGGATTCAGCCTCAGCCCTGTGTCGCTGTCAATCCCTCAGCAGCCGGGGCATATCCTCTGATGAGTCACCGGCCTTGAATTATTTAGACTCTCACCACATGTGCTGGGAACAAAAAACCTTCCCTGAAATTGTCCTCCCCTTATTAAAAAAACAACAACAGCAACCCCAAATCCCTCCTGCTTTTAACAGGGATGTGGGGAGGAGCCAGATCTCATGCCGAGAGGCCTACATCGACGTAGCTCTTGCAACCCACCTTTCTTCTCCTTCTTCCGCAGATACTTGCTGTTCTATCACAAACAGTTCCTGGAGTACGAGTAGCCCTGCTCAGCAGCCGACGCGACAAGGAAAGGACAGGAAGCGAAAGGAGGGGTAGACTTCCGATAAAACACACAACACTACCTGAAAATGAAAAACGACACCCATTCGACACCTGGCCCCGAGCTGCGACAGGACCTGCTCGCCGGTTGGCTCACCGCCTAGAGGAGTTTAAAAATAATAATAATAATAATAATGGAATAAAATAAACGAACTCTCTTCCTCGGGTTTGCGGTCCTGCAAGAAGGACAGAAGGAGGAGGGGGGAACCTAACCAGAGGCTGCCGTCAGTGACTTTGAGCGAAGACATAGAATAGCGCGAAGGTTGCCCTCGACAGGGACATAGAGGGGAGCCGAGGAGTCCCGCCGTTCCTCCGAGGCGTGCGTGGGAAGGCCGGGGGCGTGTGTGTATGTGCTCTCATCTCCATCCAAGCATCTTCTCCATTGGTGCTTCAGCTCCAACTGACCAATCATATGACAGTTAATTAAAACAAAAAACAAAAAAATTTACCCCGAGCCCCCATTTTTTTTTTTTTTTAAATCATCATCGCCCCATGGGTTTGAAAGCAGTCAAAAATGGAGGAGAGTTGGGGACGCCACGACGAGATGGACTTTACGAGTACCTTTTTATTTGTGAATTTTAGTTATTAAATAAATACAGTATGAAATGATTAGGCTGTTTTTGTTTTTCGGAAAAGCCATTACCAGAGGCCAGATTGACGGGACCGGCGTGCTGGCGAAGGTAACCAAAACCTGCCTCTTTTAAGTCACGGCACAGGTAATTTTTTTTTGGGGGGGGGGGGAATGTTATTTTTGGAACAGGCTAGGTTTCTGTTTGAGCCCCCTCCCCCCCTCATTTTGTTTTCTATACATTGCTATTTTATTAATTTCTCGCCCCACTTCACCCCCCCCCCACCCCTTTACACATGTACTTTTGTTCGTTTTCCGCCCATAAGAATGAAATTCATAATTGCAACCATCAGTAAAATGAATGAATTGGCATGTTTATACTGTAAAAAAAAAAGTAGTCTTGATTATTTTTTTGTGGTTGGGGGAGCGGGTGGGTGGTTTGGATGTCAATAAGGCTGATCTCTGGGGTGGAGGGGCTTGTTGGGGGGCGATTGTTTTCCCCATCTTCCCTTTCCAAAGAAATATTGCCCTCCTGAGACCCTTGGCGTTGAGAAACGTGCCATCTGCCACTTTTGAGGGCTGGGTGCTGTTTTTTGAAACCAGACTCTTCCTAAGCAAAAGACTTCCTACCAACTCTGCTTTTATTGGTCTCTTAGTTCTCTCTCTCCCATTCATCTCTCCCTCTCTCTGTATACAAAGCCTTCTGGCTTTGTCCTTTCTTCCTGGAAAATGGGAGCATGTTTGCTTTTGTTTTTTGTTTGTCAGAAATACATTTATTTTCTCACTTTCTCTCTCCCCTCTGCTGTCTAGAGACGGCCAAAGCCCATATGGGCTGTATATTTTATCAAGAGGCGGGGGCCACGCTTTATTTGTCACTCACGAAGAAAATTGCTTCTTTGCCTTGTTAAAAAGAAGAAAAATAAATAAATAAAACCCCCTTCAGGCTGCACCACTTAACGTGTGTGCGGCCAATAACCGCAGGGAAGTGGTTTTGTCACACCTCTTTTATCTGTACAAAACAAGTTTACCTTTCTGTGTGGAGGAAGGACATGAAGAATTAAAAGATCCACCCGTGACTTGAATACCAGCTGGATTTCTGCTCAGCTAACAAAAGCTGCCTTTTAATATCTATATATCTCTATCTATCTATCTATCTATCATCTATCTATCTATCTATCTATCTATCTATCTATCTATCTATCTATCTATCTATCTATCTATCTATCTTTCTGTCTGTCTGTCTGTCTGTCTGTCTTTCTATCTATCTATCTATCTATCTATCTATCTATCTATCTATCTATCT